GGAGCCATGAGCTCAATTCACTTCTCCCATGTGGCTGGGGCATGGAATAAACTTGAGTGAGCTCTCACCCGTAGGCTTCCATGTTGAGCATTATCAGAAAGCCAGGCTTGGGAATAGAGCCAGGCACTCCCCATGGCATGGAGGCCTAAGCCAAAAGAGTCTGGGTCTCCTCTATGAGTACAACAGCCCAAAGAATAGGGCCATGCTCTCCTGCTTCCCCAGGCTATCAGCACAGAGCACAAACCACACCCATAAGGGATGCAAGCTGTTCTGGGCAACAGCATCACTTACTGCCAGTCCCCTACTCTGTCTTACAAAAACTGATGGAGAAGATATAGAGAAAAGGGAATCCTTGCACACTGTTCGTGGGATGATACATAAAACAGTACAGAGCTGTCTCAACAACTGGAAACGAGAATCACCATACAATCTAGCAATTCCACTAACTGGGAAAATTCCAAAGGGAAATGAAATTCATCCATCGAGCTGTCTGCACTCCACAAGAGCCAAAACACGGAAACAACCTAAGGATCCCTGTACTGATGAAAGTCTAAAGAAAATGGGTGTGTCAACATGGAAATGTAACTCAGTCATAAAAGGATGAGATGCTGTCATTTACAACACCTTGACTGAACCCTAGGTGACAACATCAAGTGAAGCACGGTAACACAAACATCACATGATCTACTCACATGTTGACTTAAAAACATAGAACGCTCACAAAACCTACAAATCTACTTGCGCTTACCAAAGCTGGGTGGCAAGTGGGGAGGGAAGGATGGGCAAAGGTTGGTTCATAGATGCTGGATTGTAGCTAGGTGGCAGGAGGTTTTGGGTTCCACCACACAATAAGGTGACTATAAAATCCTTCTCTCTCACTTGCTCTGTCTCCCTGTAACTCTCCCTTCTACACAAAAATAAATAAATCTTTACTATTTATTTGTAAAACTTTTCTAAAACAATTCAGAAGACTCCCCCTGCCTTCATTTTACCACACATTTTTCCCATAGGAAACTGAATGCTAAAGGACTCACTCTGCTTCGCGGTTTCTGATTGGTAATGACTAAATACACAGCATGGAAATGAAAGGATACCGCCATCTTACCTTACACACAAACTCTTCCATTCTTCCCACAGCATGATGGGCTTGCAGGAGAGGGGACATGCCCATAAACTCCTCATCTTCATGGGAAACTTCTTCACTGCACTCATGTTCCCCAGAGCTCTGTAAGGAAACCAGAGAAACGGTGACAGAATGAGAATCAAACAATATAATAAACATTTCTTCCCCTTCTGCAGATCATAATTAAACTTCTGTTCCAGGTCTCCCACATGGGTGCAGGTCCCAAAGACTTTCTAAAGCCACAAACAGGGAGCTGGATGGGAAGTGAAGCAGCCAGGACGCAAACTGGTGCCCATATGGACTCCTGACACATGCAAAGTGAGGATTTAGCCACTGAGCTTTTGCATCAGGCCCCCCAGATAGTCTCTTATTTTACAGAAATTATCTCAAAATACAACAGCAGTTGTTGACAATTTGGATATGCTTGAGAGAGGTCATCATGTGTTCACCTAAGTCTTATTATAATATTTTATTGTGATTTTTCTATTTAATAATTTTTAGTGTGGTACTGTACCTTGTTTCCTGGTGCCAGGCTCTGCATCTGTGTGATGGTGGACAGCTTTCTTAAATAGCCCTTGACTCAGTTTTCTCATCCTAAAAGATTGGGTAATGGTACCTATTCAGTGTGTTAATGTGAGAATTAAGTACTTTAAAAGTGGTAAGATGCTCAAATGGTATTGAAGTTAGCTGTTACTATTTGAACATGATTTATGTCAAAGAAATGTGAGTTGAAATAAGAATTGATTGGCCTTTACAAGACAGTATTATAAGAAAAATGAAAGTTGGGATTTAATATCAATTTGGGAGTCGTAAGTAACATAATAAGTAATCCTAAATAGAATAGGATTGGATGAGATTCTACAAGTCCCTACATGAAAACTGTATGTTTTGATGTGTGCGCCATTGCGTTCAGGAGCTCTGAGCTGTGAAGTTCAGCAGCAGGCCCAGAAGAGGTTGAGTGCTCATGCGCAGATATCGCCAAAGGCCTAGGGGTTACAACACAGTGTCATCCTGGCTCTAGGTCCAACTTTTGCCTTTTAGTCCCTGACAGACCTCTTTATTCTGGATTCCAATTTTGGTGTTTTTCTTCCTTTCTTTCTTTCTTTTCTTTTCTTTTTTTTTTTTTGGATGAGTGAGATTGTCTTTTACTGTTTATTTTATGGTTAAGTCCAAGGAATTCTGGGAAGATGCTTCTGAAGGATACTTGGAGTTAATGGGTTGGTAATGTTGAGTGGGGGATCAGCCTAAGGACCTTCAGGAATGAGGGTAAAATTGTATAATTTACTGAAATAAATTTTAGTATGCTTGCATCTTTTCTGAATTGTCAGTATTTGCATTTATGGTTTAGAAAGCTTAAAATTTTAAGAAATACATTGCTTTGGTATCTCTTCAAATTTTGTGACCCACATTTAATGCTGGTGTAGAATTAACCATTAAAGACAAATAAGGGTGGAGAGAGAGTGTGCAAGCGAGCAAGAGTGCTTCCATCTGCTAGTTTATTCTCCACTTGTCCCCATGTGGGCCAGGCCGGAACCAGGAACCAGGAACTCCATGCTGAGTCACCACACGGGTGGCTGGAACCCAACCCAGCTACTTTCTTTTCTTATTTAATTTCTTATTTTCTTTTTTGTTATACTTACATAGTTGAGGGATGAACTCCCACATGAGCCTCTGATCAGGGTGGGGAGGTTCAGGTTCAGACACTGAGGAAAGTGGGTAAGACAAATATTTACTTTTTCTTTTTTTTTTTTTTCCTTCTCCTGTGTCCCCTGGGGAAGAGGGCAAGAGGGCCACTCTTTTTTTTTTTTATTATAAATTTTTATTTTGACATTCTTTACATAGTTAATTAGGGTAAGAAGGTTCAAGAGCTACAGGAAAGTGGATAATACTCGTATGTTTTCCATATTCTTACCTTCATGTTTAAAGGGGGGTATTAAGGGAGAAGACCCACCCAATTTCCCACCCTCCCCAGGTCCTGGATGTAGGGCATGCTCTGAGGTTCTTGCTCAAGTGGTTTTGCTATTGCAACAGTTATGAATTGCAGTCAGTCTTGCCACTCCAACCACTATGAGGTCTTTGAAAAATCTACTGATTGACATAGTCCATCGTAGCTGAGCTGGTTGTTTGACCTGTTCTGTCTTCTCTCGTTTCTTGGTTAGGGTTCTGAGTCCAGCATTTAGATTAGGAAGATCTCCATAGAAACTTCTTGTATGTGCTAACAAGTACAGGACCTGGCAAGGTCCATCGCCCCAATCAGCTGGTGGTTGCAATTGCTGGGTTGGTTCTGTTTTCACTCCCGACTTCCACTGGAACCAATGGGTATTGCAGTCCAGCCTGGATCTAAGAGGGCCACTCCTTGTTGTCAAACTACATCAGTACTTGGTGATGGGGGAGATGAGCATTTGATGCTCAAGGAGACCCCATTGTGGGGAAGTATTCCAAGGTGTTTCTTGAGTGATTTTGGTAGTTCTGAGAAGTTGTTGGTTTCAATGCACCAGGGTTGAGAATGCAGGAGAGAGAGGCATCCTAGCTCAGCCTGGCCCACCTCCAGTCCGAACTCTAATTCTCTCCAGTTGTCCCCTACCAGGCCTGTTCCCAGCCGCAGGTCTTGCATGGGTCAATGGGTGCTGTGACCAGTTTGAGACAGTCTGCTTGCAGTCTTGACATTTTCCAGCAGGTGCAGCAGTCTAGCCTACGTTACTGAGCGTGTGATTCCCAGAATTACATGTCAGCAGAAAGCAGAATCAGAATGAATGTCAAACCTGGGGACTCTGAAGGAAATGTGTGCATTTCAAGCAGCAACTGAAGCTGTGTGCCAATTGCCTTCCCTTCAGGTCAACATTTTATATGGACATATTTAATGTTAAATTCCAAACTATTGCTTTTTTTTTTTAATGTAATTCCGTAGGGTTCGGTCCACCCCCAGCCCTGGTTCTCTTGCATGCTGGTTGCTGTCATGGTTTAGCATAATGTGACCCATCCCCTTATCCAACACTCACTGTCAGATACTGAGATCTAGCCCTGTCAGACAGGTCCCCAGCCATGGATTTCATGTGTACAGCTGCTGTGTGGTGGTCAGCAGTGTTCCATGCTAACAAGCCCAGCCCGTTTCCCATGTGGGCTGGTGCATCAGTCTGACCCTTAAAGATCTTTAGGTCTCTCCCCTCCGATCCACTGAGTCTCATTCCCCTTGCTTACCTGCAGTACAGTGTGCTTGTGATTGGGAGTCCCTCAGGATCCATTCCTCATCCACACAATACTCCCAGGATGGTCCTTCCTACCCCATATCTCCTTGCTCCTTTCTCTAATCAATCCACAAGCCTTGTGCCTAGCCCAGTCTTCGGAAGCCCAGTGGGTGGTGTGGTGGTCCTGTATTCTGCCATCCACCAGGGTCCCGAGCTCCTGTCATATATGCTAGCCTGGTGTCTTACCCCTCTACACACCCAAGATCCAGACCAATTGCGGGTTCCAGGCCTGGTTCACCAGCACACCAGAGCAGTGTGCTGACCTGGGGCTCTTTCTTCAGCTCTCCTCACCTCACCCAGGACCAGACACATAAGGAAATCCCCAGGTTCTCTCCACCTGCCTAGTGATGAGCTCCCGGTTCCCCAATGCCCACCAGTGTTATGCCCTTAGCCTTCCCCCAACTGAAGCTGCAGCCTCAGCCCCCTCACCCCCTCACCTGGTGCCCTGGGAGCATGGCAACAGGATGATGCCATCCCCTGGTGTGCCTAAAATGTTTTTAAAAACCTTAACTCTCATGTGGTGAATATATTTCAAATATGTGGTTTTAAGAAGACGGTATGGTCACCCTTTTCCTTCTCTCATATATTCTTCCTGCTTTCTTACATTTCTTTTATTTTTTTTTCCATTACTTCAAGTGGGCAGCTTATATCGTGGAAAGAAACCTCGAAGGCCTAAAGAAAGAAAACACTTGTGATGGGCAAAAGTGAGTATCTTAGTGTTAACATTTGTTTGTAAAGATTTATTTCTTTATTGGAAAGTTAGATGTACAGAGGAGGCGAGACAGTGAGAAAGATCTTCCATCCGATGATGCACTCTAAAAGTGACTGCAACGGCCGATGCTATGCCGATCCGAAGCCAGAAACCCGGAACTTCTTCTGGGTATCCCACCACAGGTGCATGGTCTTAAAGATTTGGGCCGTCCTCGACTGCATTCCCAGGCCACAAGCAGGGAGCTGGATGGGAATTGTAGCTGCCGGGATTAGAACCCGCACCCATATGGGATTATAGTGCGTTCTAGGTGAGGACTTTAGCTGTGAGGCCACGCCGCCGGGCCCTTAGTGTTAACATTTTAAAACTACTTTACTTACTTTCTTACTTTCTTAACTATGTAATTCTGTCATAAGGATTTGTAACAAGTTTTCCAGTGCATCTGGCCTCCTTCATTGTGAATTATCTACTAGTTATTTTTCCATTTGAAATACTTAGCTAAACTGAACTATTTCTTGGAAGAAACTTTTGTCACATACTTGTACAAATTTTGTTTTTCACTCTTTGATAATGATATGGTCCTAAGTCAGCAGCTTGTGTAGGTTCACTAAATTGGAAGCCACACTTTGCCCACCGATGTAATGCTATCTGCTCACTTGTGAAATAACTCCTTTCCAGGGATGCCTCTCTGCACGTGGGACCTGAAGTGGCAGTATGTCACATACCAGTCTCCTTCATGCCCCCTTAGAGCCCAGGCTGAAGAGAAACTCATAGTCTTGCAAGAGATGCAGCACAGACGTGTAGAAAAAAACGTAAGATTGTGAAGCCAGAGTTGCCGCAGTCAGAAGGATGGAATGTGAACGGCCGAAGCTCTGACACAGTGACGCTTGCAAGTAACAGCATCTTTTGATGACTCTTTGAAGAACAATCTTATTATCTCAAGTCCTAGTTTTGCCATATGAAGACTGCAGCCCAAAGCAGAAGAAGCAGGAAGCAACTCTGGAACACCTAAGTGCTGCACTGTGGGGAGGGGAGCAAGAGCAACTGTTGTAAGATGGAGCCATGAGCAGCCAGCCTCTATGGGTGCTGGGGGAACTGGCTGAGCCCTCCTGGCCCTGGAGTGGCAGGCAAGATAGTTTGGGTATGGGGAGGCTGGCAAGCTGGCTCTGGAGAGGATGGTAATAAGGCTGTGGGCACAGGAGGCATAGCCAGAGCCAGCCAGACTGTGGAATGCCTGCGAGCTGGAGGCGCCAGCACAGTTGATGTGACCCTGGAGCAGCCAGCTGCCAGAGGGTAGCTGTGGGCAATGGCTGAGCCTGCCTGGCACTAATTGTCAACAGCAAGCTGGGGACTTAGGAGGCGCTACCAAAGCCAGCCTAGGCCTGGCTTGTCTGTGGTGTGTGGTGGCAGGGCAAGCAAGCTAGATGAGCTGGGGACATGGGCTTGGGAGCCTGGTCCTGGGGACAAGGGTTATTGCTCTGTGGGCAGGAGGGTCACCGACCGAACTGGCCTGTCCCCAGAGTGGGAAAGCTGCTGTGGAATGGATGTGCAAGGTGTGCAGTGGACACAAGACAAGTGGACCTGGTGTTGGAAGAGCAGGCCAGTGAGTGGTGTGCTGGGGATGCTGGGTCACTGGGCTAGCCCTGCAGATCCTGGAGCAGCTGGCAGGGTGGGCGGGTGGCAAGGTGGGCAGGATAGGAGTGCAGTGGGGAGGGGTCCTGGGAGAGTTGAGCTGGCCATGCAATGGATGATGATAGTCCTGTGGGTGCAGGGATACCAGCGGAGCCAGCTTGGCAATGAAGCAGGTAGTGGGTGGGCTAGGGACACAAGGTGATCTGACTTATCAGACTTGGCCCTGGAGCAGCCAGCAGATGGCTTGGGGACTGGGCTGTCTGGTCGAGCACCCCCTGGCCCTGAAGCATACCCCATGCATGCTAGGCATGCCTATGGTGCTAGGGGAACTTCCTGCGGGCCACTAGAGCAGTGGGTGGGAGAGTGGCTTAGGCGGGCTAGAGTCATGTGGGGCAACAACAGAGCCTGCCTGGCCCTGTAACAGCTTAGAGGCAAGCTGGGAAAGAGAGGGGTGTTCTGTGGGCCAGCCTGGCCCTGGGGTGGATGGAGGGTGGCAGGTGTACTGGCCATTGTGGAGTGGTCCTTGAGCAGCAGGGGATGGTGGTGGGACAGGTGGACATTAGGAGCTTGGCCAGCATTGGCAGAGCCCACCTGGTCTTGGAGCAACTCATGGCACAATTGGGTGGATAGGCTAAAAACATAGGGGTTTCCAGTCCAGTTGCCCTGTGCCTGGCTGCCTAGAATATTAGAAGTGTGGCAGTCCCTGGAGGAGTGAACCTTGTCCTGAAGTGCCAGGAGGAATGACAGAGCATGCCAGGCCGGGACCCAGGGTCTCTGACAAAATGGGCCAGGTCCTAGAGCAGCAGGTAGCCATGCTGCCTACTAAGGGAACATGGTCACTGGGCAATCCCATCCTGCCCTGGTGCAGCCAATGAGGTGTGGTGCTGGCAGGCTAGGGTTTGGGCCTAGTGACACCAGCAGAACCTGGCCCTGAAGCAGCAAATGGGACAGTATGCAAACCTGCTTTGTGTGGGCAGCCTTCAGCAGAGCTGGCCTTGAGGTGTTGCAGTGAACAGGTGGGCTGGGGATGCGATGGCTGCTGCCCAAGCCGGCGTGGCTCTGCAACAGCAAGTGGGGTGGCAGGGTGGACATGGTGGCAGGGTGGGCATGCTGGCTGTGGCTGGGTGCTAGCCAGCTGGTATGTCCCTGGAGTTGGTGACAAGTATCTGTAGGCAAGGGGTGTGGTGGGAAGGGTTGCTGATGGAGAAGCTTGCCTTCCCCAAGAGCAGCAGGGGCCAGCGGCTTGTTGTGCATGAGGCATTGGCCAAGTCCCGCTGACAGTAAAGGGGCTGGTAGGTGGGCTGGGAATGTGGGAGGCCACATGAGCCACTTTTTCACTGAAACAGGTAAGCAGGGCAGTGAGGGGGACATGTGTGGCTGACCTTCGGTGACACTACCTGCGAGGCACACTCTTGAGGGTCTGGGAAAAGCCGGAACCGCAACCGGACCCCTTATTGCCAAAAGCGGCTGCTTTTATACTCTTTCTCCACTGCTTTTTTCCCTGTAGATCTTCTCTGCTGCTTTTCTAGCCCTCTCTCTGCTGCTTTTTTCCCCGTTCTCCTCGTAGGCCTTATTGCTTTTGTACCCCTCTCTGCTGCTTTCCCCCCGTTCTTGTCCCTGTACTTTTCTCTGCATAGGTCTTACTGCTTTTGTAACCCCTCTCTGCTGCTTTTTCTCCCTCTATGCCTTAGCTTTTTGCTTAGCTGTTCGCTTAGCTTTTGTACCCCTCTCTGCTGCCCCATTCTTCTCGTTCCGTCCATCGTTCTTCTCGTCTATCCTATAGCTTTCAGTGGCTGCTTTTATACTGCTCTCCACGAATCACTTCTCCCCGTGGTTCCACTTGGTGCTACCTGATAGGCCAGTTGCAATGACATAATTGCAGCGAGGGCGTCAGCCTATCCCTGTGACTTCCTGTTTGCCTGCTGGTAAGACCAACGCCGCCTCCTTGCCCTGGGGAGGCTGCCATCCTGAGAGGGCCTTTCCTATTCCTGGGACATGCTTTGGCACCCTGCTCCCCTCAGATGTGGGCATGCTCTGGGCCCGGGGATTCAGATCCTATGGGCTGTTGCTACAGATTGCTGTCAGATGGGCCCAGCCCTAGATCAGTGGGCAGCCCCTGCTGAGGGAGCAGGTGGGTGGCTGAGTGTACATGTGCCTGGAACAGTTGGTGGGGTAGTGATGTGGGCGGGCTAGAAGTCCAGGTGGCAGGCTGGGAACTGGAGGGGTGTCAGCCAGCTGGCCTGGCTCCAGAGTGGATGGTGGACAGGCTTGGGGTACTGGGGGGAGGGTAGAACCTCCTGAGCCTGCGTTGTCCTGGAACACCCTGCAGGGCAGCCAGGCAGGCAGGATCTAGGAACATTAGACACGCCACCTGTGTCTGCCTGGCCTTGGATCAGCCTGTGGGTTAGAAGTGCAGGGATCTGGTCCTAAAGTAATTGGTGTGGAGCAGTGTGGTGCCCTAGAGGCCCAGTTGTCATGACCATCAGTCTGTGGGAGTGTGTTACAGTGCAGAAGGTCCAGTGTCAGCCTGGCCCTGGAGTGCCAAGCTGAGTGACAGGGAATGCTAACCGGGGCCACAGGGTCCCTGGCAGAATGGGCTGGCTCTGAATTGCAGGCAGCTGAGTGGTCTGCTGAGGGAGTAGGATTGCTGGCTGATCCCCACTTGCTCTGGAGCACTGCATGAGCTGAGCCTACCTGGTCCTGGAACAGCAATCAGAGTGTTGGTGTGTCCTGACTGGAAGTATGTGGGGTGGGCTGAACCCTCCTGGGTGGGGCCTGGCCCATGAGCATGGGAGGCACTGGCTGAGGCCATGTGGACCTTGAGCTGCTGATGAGGCAGCTGGGTGGGTGAGCTAGAGGCAAAGGGGTCACCTGCTGAGGGAGCTGTGCCTGTTGCAGTGACCACACCATGAGTGCTGGTGGCACTGAGGACCCAGGGCCCCATTATCCTGGCCCTGAGATGCTGGGGAATTGGAGGTTCGTGCTGGCTGGTGCCTCAGTGCTGGCAGCAGAATGGGCCCCACCCTAGGGTGGCACATACAGCATGTGGTTTGCTGAGGAAACTGGGTAGATAGCCAAACTCAACTGTCCCTTGAGCAGCAGCAGGGTGGTGGACCTGGCAGGCTAGAGGCATGTCTGACACTTGCCAATGAAAGTTGACCCTGGAGTAAGTGGCAAGCAGGACCTCAGGGTATACTGTCTGGGGCCCCAGAGACGCAGGAGAATGGGACTGTCCCCAGAGAGGCTGGTTTGCAATCAGCCATGTGAGGGAGAGGTCCCTTGCTGAGCCACCTGGCCCTGGAGCAGTGTAAAGGCCGATGGAATGGGTGCACCTGGAATCCCTGGTGCCAGGCAGCTGAGCTTTACTGGTCCTAGATCAGCTGGCATGTGGCCTTGTGTGTGTAAGAGGTGCTGCAGGAGCCTGTGTGGCTGTGAAGCAAGTCGGGCAGCAGGGTGCCATGCTGTGGTGTGGAGTGTCTGGTGAGCCTCCCTGGCCATGGAGCAGCCTGCGAGCATCTAGGCAGATGGGCTGGCGAGTCAGACACTGCTCATAGGCCGAGCTGGCCTGTGCCTCTTGAAGTGGCCACAGTGGGAGTGCTGGAGATGTGGTTGGCCCATGGCAAGTGAGCCTGGGTCTGGAGTACAGCGTGGTCGGGCATGCCAGCTGGGACTGTAGTGCCACCAGAAGAACTGGCCTGGCCCTAGGGAGGCATACAGCCAAGCAGTCAGCTGAGGGATTGGGGTGACAGGCCAAGATCAATTGCCCTTAGTAGCAGCGGGGTAGCATCCACGCCAAGCTAGAGGTGTTTCTGGCAACAGCTCACCAAGCCTGGGCCTAGAGCACCAAGCCAGATGGCAGGCAGGCGTGCTTTGTGTCTGGGGCCTGTTGGCCAAACTGGCCTAGTACTGTAGTGAAGGACAGAAAGGCTGGGGATGTGATGGCTGCTGCCAAAGCAGGTGTGGCCCTGTGGCAGCAAGGGGGCATGTGGTAGGCTTGCACAATGTGCAGGGGCACTGGCAAGCCGGAATGGCCCTGGAGGAGGCAGCAGGTGGCTGTGGGAGCAGGATGGATGTGGGTTGGTTGAGAAGCCCACCTTGCCCTACTGCAGTGGATATGGGAGGCAGTGGTCTGAGGCTTGTGGAATGCCAGCTGAGCTCTAGCGGCTCTGGAGAGGCTGGTAGACAACCTGGGAGTGTGGAAGGCCCTGCCAGAGCCCCTTTGGCCCTTTATTGCCAGGCGGGATGGCAGCATGGGCATGTTGTAGGGCAGGGGATTCAGGTCCTGTGGGCTGGTGCTGCAGGTTTGCCTAAGAAAGCACCAGGATTACAGTGTCTTGTGGGCCAGCAGCTTGCTGAGGGAGCAGGGTTGAGAGTGCTGGAGGCCCCATAACTACTGTTTTGGCCTGGAAGTGCAGGCAAGGCACTATGTGCGCATGCTCTGGGGTGTGGGGGATTCAGTTTGTGTGGGCAGGAGCCGCAGGTGGCCATCAGAACAGACCCGGCCTTGCAGAGCCCACTGGTGAGCAGTGTGTTGAGGGTGAACTATCAGGGTGAGAAAATGATAATACGCTGTCTGTCAATGAAGAAACAGTAGGTGACACTATTCATTCCAAGTATATCTGCTAATATTGACTTCTTTTGGTTTCTCTAATATAGAAATAAGGGAATTAATGAATTCTCAGGACTTTTAAAAAAGTACTTTGTTTTATTGCAAAGGCAGATTTCCAGAAAGGAGATACAGAAAGATCTTCCTTCATCTGGTTCACTCCCCAAGTGGCCGCAAAGGCCAGAGCAGAGCCAGTCCAGAGCCAGGAACTTCTTCCGGATCTCCCAGGTGGGTGCACCAAGCAGCAACTGACCCTGTGCCTCTTGGCTGCTCTCCCAATCCCATTCCTGGGCTCCCTGACCCTCACGGAGGTAAGGTGGAGGCAGTGTTCGCTGTGTTTGCAGATCAGAGCTCTGCTGAGTATCTGAGTCCCCTTCCCTGGGTGAGGGCTTCCTGCAGACCACTTCAGCATCTTGGGAACCCACCGTAACTCCAGCCACACACCGGGATCCAGCTCCTGGATTCCCAGACAGTGAGCTCCTGGACTGCCCAGCCTCAGTGCAGGCCAGCAGGGAGGTGTCTGAGCTCCTGAAAGATGTATTTCTTGTGCGAACTGCACCCCCACCCCTCCAACATTACTGGAGGTGACCGCCAGCCCTGGCCACAGGCCCAGCAGCCCTGCAACACTGGCTCTCTGGAGTCAACCACTGAGCTGTGGCCATAGGCCCAGCAGCTGCACAGGCTCTCTGGAGGAGGCCACCAGCCATAGTCACGGGCCTAGCAGTCCCTGGTTCCCATCCTCACAGCCTTGCTGGACGTGGTTGCACGCAGGCTGAGCATCCAGCAGCCTTGCTGGAGGTAGCTGCCTATCTGTGGTCACAGGCCCAGCACCCCACAGCCCCCCTGGAGGCAGCAGCCCATTGTGGCCAGAGGCCCATTACCCCTAGTCCCTGACCTGGGACTGTGGAAGTTAGAGGAGGCTAATTTACAGGCCTCCCTGTTGGACTAGGACAAAATCATGTAGCTTGATGTGACCTATTTCCAGGGCTCTGCCTCTCCCCCAAAACAGAGCTGGTCCAATGCGAGCATGGGCAGGAACATCAGGTGTGCTGCTGTGGAGAGGGCATGGAGGCATGGGTCTGCATGGTGGCAGGGTGGGGCAGCATGGGTCTGTGTGTGGGCTGTGCCTCGCAGGGTGGGGTGCATCTGAAACCAGAGAAGTCTTCTGTGGGGACAGCAAGATACCCCAAGTTGTGGCATGAGGAAATCTTCCCCACGTGCAGACGAAGCTTTCTCACACAGCGCACAGATGGAGAAGTAGCGTGGGTCACCGTGCAGGAGTGGTGGCTGCAGAGTTCTCAGATGAACCCCAGATGTGTGGCAGTGGGTGGAGACCCCTGAGGAAGCCACCAGGAGGGGCCAGTCCACGGTAGGGCTGGGAAGAGGAAGCAGGAAGGGGCGTTCTTCCACGGGTGGCTGTGGTGGGGAGGGTATGTGTGCATGGAATGCAGGGTTTGCTGGAATCCCAGTCAGGGACTGGGAGCAGTGGTGGGGGAGCGTGGGATTCATCTTTGGTCCTGGGGAAGCACAGTTCAGCTTGGGGAGAAGCGCGCAGGTCTGCATGGGAGAGAGGAGCAAGTTGTTGGTCACTGGAGGGAGCATGTCCTGGACTTCCTTGGGATGTGAAGGAAGCATGGACTTCATCTGGTAAGCATGGAAGTGTGGGGTCTGCCTAGAGCAGGGAAGGAAGCTAGGGTCTGAGGAGGCATCGCCTGGGACCCCAGGTAGGGAGGATGCTGTCCTAAGCAGCTGAGGTGAAGTGAGAGTGTACTTTGGAGTTGGTGGAGACCCGTAAGCAGGGGCAGTGCAGGTGGTAGGTTCTGTGTCCCAGGTGGTGAGCTCAGATCATGCAGGAGGTGGGTGAAGGCAGCACAGACATGCTTGCACCATCATGGGATTATCATGTCATTTTTTTTAAAAGTTTCATTTTTTTATGATACTTATTTTTAAGTGAAGGGTCTCACCACTCTCCCCCATTCCCTTCCATTGCCCCCTCCTGTGATTTGTTCCTAATTTATTACAATGGCATACTCCTTCTTCCTTCTCTTATAAGCTTAACTTCCTGATATATGTGTGTATATGTATGTAGGTGTGTATATGTATGTATGTGTGTATATAAAAATTTACAAAACATAAAGTTTCCAGCTCCGCCCAGGATTCATCTGGCATGCAATGCTTGGGGAGAAGATTAGTGTAAAGTTCTCCCAACCTCCAAGAGAGGGCTGGACCCCACCCAGTCAGCTCACTGACCAATGAGAAGATTTCCGCTATATAAATGTTTATAGTGCTTCAAGGTTTGAGTCCTCCTTCCAGCATAGAGAGAGTCATTTTTTTTTCCTTCTAAATTTCCCATTTTCTTGGCCCCTCCTACTCACATAGCCTGTTCACTTAGACTGATGCCTACCTAATGCTGTGATATTGCCACCTCACAGAGACATACCCCACAGCCTTAACTGGATGATATGGATGGAGGTCCATTTGCACCTGCGAGCAGCCAGCTGTGGTGACAGGTGCAGGGCATGGAAGGCGGCATGTCCGGGTGCAGGTGTAGGTGCAGGGTGGTGAAGGGAGCATGTCCTCAGAGTAAATGTGGGGGGTGACTCAATGTGTAGGTCCCTTGAGTTCCTGACGCTTGGACAATGTGCACACCTCCCTTGTCAAATTGGTGACCATCTCACTGCCTGCACTTCCATGGAGGGAAGACACTGTTCCTAGGTGTGTGGTAACTTGTGGTTCAGGCAGAATGCACATCCTGAAGGTGGTGGGTTTGGAGCTGGGATGAATCTGCCCACCTGTTCGCAGCTCTGCCCCAGGATTCCTCGGATCTGGCTGAAGTCACTCTCCCTGTTGACGCAGACGTGCTTGAAGCTGAGCTAAAGAACACCTTACCCCCTAGCCTGGCATGCCTAGCTTTCAGGACTTGGCAGTGGAAATGACTGACCTCTGGTCTCGCTTTTCTGCTTTTCAGTGCATGAGGTGAAGATCCAGATGCAGGAAAGCCTGACCTTGCTGAGGAAGCCCTGCCTCTCCCACTCCACCTGAAGCTAAGAATGCTGCACAGCCTTGGGAAGGTTTGAGCCTGGTTGCTCTCAGTTCTTCCCAGCGTGGATGCGTTCCTGCCTTTCCCAGCCTGCAGGAGTCAGAGGGCGCTGTGCAAGCACACTGAGTCAAGGCCCAGTGGTGATGGTGGCAGCAGTGGTTGGCCATGGATGAGGCTGGTGGCCCTGAGGAAGACTGCTGGGTAAGTGAGGTGGCCCGGAGGTATCCCTGTCCTCATCTGCTCCCTGTTAGGGCCTGGGCCTTCCTTAGAGTCCATGTGGGGTCGAAGGTCCCTGAACTCAGTTGTGGGAGTTGTGGCTGTAAGATCTTGAAGGTATCTGGAGCAAGTGTGGGCCAGCTCTGGAGCAAGTGTGGGCCAGCAAGGTGGCTGCCAGCTGTAGGTGCTCTGTGGAAGCCTAGGTCCCTGAAGGCCTGTCACTTCCTTGGGGATTCTGACTCAGGTTTTGACAAAATCTGATTGACTTGGGCTGTGGGGTGGTCACTTTCATTAGCTGTGGTGGGGGCAGGGCAGGGCAGTGGGGAGCACTGTAGCCCCTTGCAGAAGATCCAACGTTCTGCTCCATCTTTAGTTTGCTGGGATTCTGACAGAGAAGGCAGTGCAGGGTTTGTGGTGCAGGAGGAGGTAGCCAGCAGGGTGGGTCCCCGTTTTTCTCTTGACTGACAGGGTGCTTGCAGTGTGCCCTGCTATCCTGGTGCATATGCACAGCTGGTGTGTGTGTGTGCTTTCATGGGTCAGATGTGTGGGGTTTGAAATTTTATTTCTTTGAAAAATCAACTAAACAGTTGAACTAAATCAATCAAGTGAACAAGCCAAAATGGTTGGTTAATTAATTAAATCAGCTTATTGATTGAATGAATTGATGAACTTGTTAGAGCAGATGAGTGAGAATCTGAGAGGCCTGCAGAAGGCAGGCCCTGGAAGCTGACTAGGAAGCCTGTCTGCCAAAGGCCTGGTGAGCAGTGACAGTGATCAGAAGCTGAGAAGATGTGCCTGTCTTTTGTAGCCCTGCACCTGAGGGAAGAGGTGTCAAAAGTCAAAAAGAAGGACTTTGAGCACTTGCTGATAGAGGTGATGCAGATGTGGGACTTTCTGCTCAGGATCCTCAATCAGGAAGTCCTGGAGAGTTGCTCCAAGTTGAAGATTGTCAACAAATTGAGTCTCCCTGCATCCCTAGTGGGCATCAGCTCGGGGGTGTGTAATTCCTTCATTGCTGGTTCAGCCTAGATGAGCAGCTACTAAGTCAGTACAAGTGACTAGAAAGGATAGTTAAGCATTGGTGGGTGCTGGGCAGAATTGGGCTGCTTTCTGAAGCACCTGCCATGGCCTGTCTCTCTCTCTCTCTCTCTCTCTCCTTTCTTCTGGCTCTCCTACCCATCAGAGCACATTTAGGTCTTTACTAATTGGAGAAAATGAGGTCCTTTCCTTGCATAAATGAAGGACTTTGCTGTGTGGACAGCTGGCATGGAGTTACTGGCTGGGCCATGTGTAGTGCAGACTTTGACTCACAGTGGAGCTGATGTGAGAAATAGCCTTCCAGGATCCTGCTGCCATCGGAGATTACCCTAAGGGAGATTTGGACTTGGCATGTCTGGGATGACAGTAAGATGAAGGTGGTCTTTTGTGGTTAAGGCTACTTTACCAGGCACTGTTTGACAGGCCCCCCCGGAGTGTCGGTCTGAGCAAGGAGATGTCAGGGGTCAAGAGTGTGAGTTTCTGGGTTGAGCAGGTGAATGAGCCTGCCAGCATGAAGCCAGAGGTAGAATGTTGGTAGTGCTATGCGACAACAGCCTTATGCTCTAGTGGTCAATTTTTTTCTTTTTTTTTTTTACACTTTATTATTATTATCATTTTGTGATACAGTTGCATAGGCTCCTGGCATTTCCCTTATCCCCTCCCCAATTCCCTCCCCCCACCTAGTTCCTCTATATCATTACTAACATATAGTTCTTCCTACACAGTAATATGTCCATCATTGCAGGCATGGACAATGGCAGAGTCCAGAATCCTATTGTCAAGATATAGTAAAACAGTTTCATTTTAAGTCCATCTTTGACTGGAGGCAGAAATGCATCCTACACTGCATCCTCACATCTGGATGTTAGTCTCCATTTTGCAGGTAGTGTACATCCCCTTAAATAGAAAGTCATGATACAAAGTCAACAATAGAATAATTAGAAGTTTACAATGCCAGGAAGTTAAATGACATGTTACTGGATATGACTGTCTCCATTACACAACTACTCTACAGCCCCTTAATTGAAGAGCCAAAAAACAAAATCAACATCAGGGAGAAATAGGATATTAACAACACCATGAAGTTAAACAACATGCTATTAAATGACTAACATGTAGCTGAAGAAATGAAAATCATGAACCTTCTTGAAGAAATTGATGCCACTGCATGTTCTACGAGTCATTGAATGATTTAATCAGAAGAAAGTGTTTTGAAGAGATGAAACCAACACAAAAGAACAAAACCCATGCAACATAGTTTCTGCTGATCTTTGTTGGTGAAGTGTGTCTCTTCCAGACAATAGACAGACGGGTTTTGTTTTTTAATCCAGTCTACTCATCTATGATGTTTGATTGAGCTTAAACCGTTTACATTCGGAGATTAATATGTATGGGTGGTACTTTGGTCCTGTCATTTTAGGAATGGGCTGTTCGTTGGTTTAGTCTTCTGTTGTCATTTTACTGGGATATTCTTCCTATTTGCCTTTGGTTTTGTTTGGTGCTAGTCCTCTTCTCTGTCAAGAGAACATCTTGAAGTGTCATTTGTAGGGCAGGTTTGAAAGAGGCAAATTCTTTTAACTTCTCTTTACTGCAGAACAATTTTAGAAAGGCAGTATTAAGAGACCAAATATAAGAGTTATGGGAGTCCCAGAAGGTGCAGAAAGAGAAGCTGAGTTTGCAAATGTGTTTAATGAAACAATAAAGGAAAATTTCCCTAATCTAGAGAAAGAATTGGGAAACAACATCTAGGAGGGGCAGAGAACTCCCAGCAGGCTTGACCAGAAGAGATCTTCACTAAGATAACCTCAGGCTTCCTGGCCTGTGGTTGCAGAAATGGTCTTTTAAGACAAGGGTCTATGGGGGCAGAGAAGGCCTCATGCAACAGGACCTTTGGGTAAAGTAATGGCCTCACCCATCTGGGTCCTGTGAGTATAGATGTGGTCTCGCAGAAGAGGGATCTGAGCTTGCAAGGATGGCATTGTATGACACGGGCCTGTGGGTATGGGATGGTATCCCACCACATGAGCCTGTGGAGTTTGGTGTCAGGTTCCTTTGGAAGTGGGTTGGCGTTGCCATGCCAGGGCCTATGGGTGCGGGGCAGCCCTGGTGTGATTTTGGCCCATGTGTGTGGATTAGCTCACCATCTGGTGCCTGTGGGTTCAGAGATGGCTTTGCATTGACAGGGTTCTGTGGATGAAGAGATGGCCTTGCGTAACAGGGGCCTTTGGGTTCAGCGTGGCCTCACATGCTAAAGGCCTGAGGCAGGCGGGGGCGGGGATGGGAGGGAGGCAGCACTGTACAAAAGGTGTCCATGGGTGTGGGTTGGCCTCTCATGCTACAGAGGCCTTTGGGTGCAAGGAAGGCCTCATGTGTTGGGCTCATAGGTGCAAGTACGGTCTCTGTGTGCATGGCCTGTATGTTCAGGACAGCCTTGTGTGATGGGAGCCTGTGGGCTGTAGGGTAAGGGACTTTTGGGTACAGGGACAGCCTTGCCTTTTAAAAATCTTGTGGGTGTGGGGTAGGGCTAGTAAACCTTAGTCCATGCATGTGTTGACAGCTCCCATGTTGAGGGCCTCTGTGTTCAGGGACAACCTAATCCTCCTGGGTCCTGTGGGTACAGGACAGCCTCTCATGCCATGGGTGGGTGCAGGATCTGCCACAATGACAAGGATTTGAGGGAGCAGGGGTGGCCTCATGTGTCCAGGGCCTATGCATGTGGGGATAGCCTCGTTGGTGCAGGGCTTGTGGGGTCAAAGATGACCTCACCCATCATTTTTGTGGGTGCAGGGATGGCCTCAACCAATGGTGCCTGTGGGTGTGGGGATGACTGTGTGTATGCAGGGTCTTTGGGTGCTTAGACTGCCTCATGCAACAGTGAGCTGTAGGTATAGGGATTACAACACATATCTGGGACGTCTCTTGTGGAGATGGCCTTATACGTCCAAGGCCTGTGGATGAAGTGACATCTTTATATATCTGTGGCCTGTGTTTGCATGAGAGGTCTTAATGGGTTGTTGGATGACCTTGTAGGTCCAGGGTCCATGTAGTCAGGATGGACTTAAGTGTGCCAGGATGGCCTCTTGCGAGAAGGACCTGTAGGTGCAGCATGGCCTTGCACTACCTTGGCCATTGGTTGTAGATGTGTCCTCCTCTGACAGAGGCTGTGTGTGCCTGATGGCTTCCTGCAACTTGGTGCTGTGATCCAGCATGGCATCAAAAATTGGTCCCTGTGTTTTCTGGGAATGCCTAGAAAGCAAGTGTCTGTCGGATCAGTTACAGTCTTGAGTGACCCAAAGGGGTTTTGGATGCAGGCATGGTCCTGCATGAAATGAACTTTTGGTTGCAAGGAAGGGTTTATGCAACAGGGGCCTTATTGTGCAGAAATGATCTCATGTGACAGGGGCTGTTGGATCAGGATGACCTTATGTGACAGCACCTGTGTATACAGTTAAGGCCTCACATGACATTTGTCTTGTGTGCAGGCATTGCCTCACATGATGGTGACCTGTGTGTGCAGGGAGGGTCACACAATGAGAGTGGTTTTGGATGCAGTGATAGCCTCATGTGACAGACAGGTCGTTTGGATGCAGAGGTGACTTGATGGGTGTGTGATCTGTAGATGCAGGGTGGCCTCTAACAACTGGGTCTGTGAGTACAATGATGACCTTGTGTGACAGAACTGTGGCCTAGGATGACTTCACATGACATTGGCCTTCAGTTCCATAGATAACCTTGTGTGACCGGAGCATGAGGATGTGGGGATGGTCTTACGTTACAGGGATGTGTGGGTAAAGGATGACCTCCTGAGTCCATGTTCTCTGGCTACAGGGATGGCTCACAAGGCAGAGGCCTTTTAGTTCTGGGATGGACATCCCCCTTGGCCCAGCAACCCCCAGAGCAGGTGATCACGCTTGCTTGCTTGCTCTGCCAAGTGGGATGTCCACCTTGGATGAAGAAGTGTCTCAGGGAATGGATCGAATAAGGAGGCATGGTGGACAAAAGTGTCCCTAACCAACCTCGTTTGTTTCTGCAGGGAGTCCAGCAAGCAAGCATTGCATGCCACATTCTCTCAGCCACTTCTTCAGTAGAGTTTTCTGGGTCCTGATCTGTACAGAGGGACAGGCAATGGGCAGGTGAGTGCTGTGGAAACCCAGGACTGGAGAGACCAGGGTTTTGCATCAGAAATGAGGCTTCCTGCCTCTGTCCTTTGGCATGGTCCCTGGACTGGGTCAGGGC